TGATTCTAGGATCTGTGAATTACAAGAAATAAAATGCATCCCATAATTTAAGTTTAACTGAAACCTAGGGAAAAGCATTTCATCATCTTCTGGTATACAGCAGTGTCTTAATAAACTTCATTTTGGTAAAGCTATTAACACAATTTTGTTTGTTTTAGTGTAATTTGAAGCCTAACATAATTATAAGTCTGACACATGACAGAACAAATATAACTTCTACTTTGATACTAGAATTACATGTTTGGAATCATATAACAAGTAAGAGTATTTTCAAATTGCAACTCTTTTCCAAGTCTCTGTCTCTAACAAATAAAAAAAAAAATTTCCCCCAAATTCTGCCCTGTTCAATTTGTGATAACTTATTGTTATTCTTTTCATTTCTTTAACTAATTTAACCTTCTTTCTTAAGGTTCATACTTCCCTCTCCCAGGAGCACAGGCCCAGAGCTGGCACAAAGTCCTCTCTCAATCTTTAGGGCCACAGAAATCAACATTTATGAAATCAAAAATTATTCACACATAGGAAAGACACAGCAATTTATCATTAACTTTAAATACGGAACACACATGTGGCAAGAAAGGTAATTATTCACTTCCTTTTCAAGGTGACAATACATTAGGTAAATAAAGATGAAAGAACATGCAAGTGTGTAACAGTTTTAAGGACTTATCAAAAACAAATTCTGAACATATTCAGACCCTCCACAATTTAACAACAATGAAGGAGTTCATTTATTGCAGCGCTCACTCAAATTTTACACTGAAGGTATCTATATTTAAGCATAACTAAAACTAACAAACTTTTCAAGTATCCTAACTACATAAACCAATAAAGTTAGTAACCAGAAAACTATGCTCTACCCTTACAAACTGTAACATAATTAGTGCTCACAAAGCATTTGTATTCTAGTCCTTTCCACAATGCTACTTACAATGTTCCTAAAGTCAAAGGCTTAATTAAGGAGAGTGACCTATTCTCCTTTAGTTCTTCTATTTTTTGGTCACGCTGTGAGGCATGTGGGATCTTAATTCCCCAACCAGGGGACAAACGTGCACTCCTTGCAATGGAAGTGAGGTATTAACCACTGGACTGCCAGGTAAGTCCATGACCTATTCTATTTTAGACAATTTGAAATGCTCAGATTAAGAAACTGAGTCTAAAACATTTTTCCTTGCTTGTCAAAAGATAGCTGAAAGTAATTCAAACACTCAACTATAACACCACTCAGAAAAAGACATGAGTGATAAAAAACATGAAACATCTTCTAAGTACTATAATTTCACCTATTCATAATAAAAAAGATGCCAATATAAAAATAGTGCCAAGCAAAAAATTACTTTCTACTGAAAGACTGAGTTTGACATAGACTATATTTGATCTAGTATGCAATCATGTTACAGTTACACATAACATGGCGCATTTGAAATAATTCTCACTTGCAGTTTGGAGGTCATAAGACAAAACTATGTAGCCGTATTCCAACTTCAGCCTATTAATTTAGAAAAACCAAAAACTTAGGTCAATTGAACTACAATATAACTGAAATACTATTTATAAATAATAGATGCGATTTTTAACATGGCTCACCAACTGGTTCAGATGGCCACAAGCAGGAATTTCACACCTGCAAGAGAACACATGTGATAATCCTCATAAAATAATATTATGAATATTCGTGTAATTTGGGGACTGATTGTCAAGTTAAATGCCAAACTTGAGTCAGTCTGACTTTGCTATTATCCTAAAATGATCTTTATACTTCTTTACTATTAACACGGAAAGTACTAAAATCGATCAAATCTTTAATAACTTTTAAAAATATTTAACCTACAAGTATCTTTCACTTTTGAACTTCATGTATCTCTGAAAAACTATAGATACAAAATACTTAAAACAAGGCAAAAAATTGTATATACAGTAACATTTTGTTCTTGGGGAAAAAAATATAATGTAAAAATATAAACACATGAAAATAACTGTATTTTCTACACAAAAATTGAATTTTAAAAGGCCTAAAACTGGTGAAGGGAAAAGTAAAATGAGGTATGCCTTCCTATAATGTTTTATATTTTATAGAGAATATAATCATGTGCTATTTGTGCAATTAATAATTAATAGAGAAAAAGGTTGTAATTCAAAGTAGTTTAGTTAAGTTTATAATCTTATAAGTGTCTTTCCATTAGAAAAAAATTATAGCCCCCAAACATATACTCATCCTTAAGAATATGGCAACTCCTTTCTGGATATCTGCTTAATGAAATAATTATCCTATAAAATACTACTACCACTCTAATATTCTAACAAATTTTACAGTTTTGCCCTTCTTGAAGCAACTGATGCATCCTCAGAAAGATCAAAGGAATCTATTTTTGCCTTAGTACTTCTAGCACTGCCTCACTTTTTCAAGCAGTTTTACAGTGGAATACTAGCTACCTTCATTTTCTATAGCCGTAACAGCTTAAAACCTTATCCTAAAACATGACAGATGTGTCTGAACACTCTTCATGATTTTACTCTTACATTATTTTAAATTTCTGACTCTAAACACAACACACATTTTATATGTGAACACAGTCAAAGATCTCAAATGTAGTTTTATGCTAATAATGTTTTACAGAGTTGAGAAATTAGGACTATAAAAAAAACTGTTTTCAAGTAGAAACAGAAAATTGTAGCTTTGCTATTACTAATAAAAGAAAATCATGCCCACTTTTAAAATGACAACTGCAGGAAAGAACAGCAAAATGAGACAAATGGGGGGTCGGGTATAGGACACAAACTGTAGTAAAAGAGAAAGTAGAGACATATTCCATCACATGGTGAAACAGACACATATTTTTGAGGGTGGAAAACGGTCAGAGGAACAATGACTTTGCTATCCATCACGGCCCCCAGAAAACAAACAGAAGCATGAAAAAGGCACCAAAATACACACTAGTCCCTACACACACCAGAACACTCAAAAATTAAAAGCAGCAGCTGGGAGAAATCAACAAGTGTAAACAGCCAGAAAGGGACTGTAGAAGATAGAAACTGCATTTCAATTCCACTCTTTCTTCCCATATGAAAATAAGACTTGTTCTTTTCCTGACCACTCATCAAATTTTCAAGCAACAAATATATATATATATATATATATATATATATATAAAGGAAAGAAAATGTGAGGCCTTGGCACTCCAAAATGAAAACAGCAGATTAAAGGCAATGGCACATCAGTAAACAGATAATTATCCACTAGTAATTAGAGACCTACAGTAATAAAATATCACAGAATGTTAGCTTACATAAAGATATTAAAGTACTATATGCACATGCATATTTCAGGTAAACTACCATAAAGTCAAGAATACAAACCTTCAATAGCAAGACCACTGTTTTTGCCTCTAGAGGGCGAACTTGGTCTTCTGAAAAACTCTATAGACAAGAGAGGTTACTTTTAGATTTTACAAAAAAAAAAAAAAAAAAAAAGTTAAAATTTAAGATGTCCAGATAGCAAAGAGTCCCAAACTTTACTGGATTAACAGCAACCTTAGTGTCTCAGTAATTATTATTGGCACCCCCTAAACCAACAGAAATACTCAATTATTCTGTTTAATGAGTAGTTATGTCCCAGTACTTAGTAGCCATTTGAAAAAATACACAGAAATTAAAAGAAAGCCTTATTGCATTCTTAAATAACCACAATTAATCACTAATTGGGCATGTGCGCCTTTTGTGCAGTGTACAATTTCACATATCTTGAAATAAGACTGGACACCATCACCTTCATTTCCTGTTCCACACTGATTTTTGCAGAGTATCTGATTTTTACCACAGCAAACTCAGAAAAACCAGATTCACAAAGACACAATGTCACAGAAAGTAATACATTGCCATTTTATGTTAAAACTGTGTACCACCTCAAGCTATCAGGCTGCACCGTATCCAACAAACGGTGGAAGAGTATTACTGAGTTTGCCATGGTTCCCATCAGCGTTAGCAGCTGCAGCACATGGGGTGCCCTAGACACACAGCTTGGGAATCACAGCACTTTAGTATTAAGTCTGAGCAGCATATAAGCTAGTTGATATTTTAACTACCTGCAAATGAAATTAACTATCACAAATACTATTAAAGATCTAAAAATTATGTTCTCATTTACTTCAGAAACCAGTTTTTCTTTTCAGCAATAAAAAGAACACTATTAAATCCTTAAAGGAAAATATTTTTCCAATTTAAATGATGATTACTGTTTTCATGGTGATTATTTTTATATATGCTGGATGTGCTAAATTTGATAAACTACAACTGGAAGGAGATAAATAAGAAATTTATCATTCTATCTCCTTCTGAGAAGTAACTTCTCTAAACTTAAAAAATGCCACAAACTGATAAAAGAGTCTCACTGTTGTCCAGTCTCACTGACCTCCGATTACTGAGAAGCACAAGCTAAGAAGTCAAATATGACATGAAGTTCTTAAGAACTCAAGAAGATGGGTATTAAGCCAACTCAAGAAGTTGGCTTCTAAATTACTAGAAATAGAATATATACCCACCCACCTCACAAAGTCCTTGGTCGAAAACCAGAAAATGACCAAGGAAAATTTTCAACCTCAAAAATCTACTCAGTTTTCACTTTATACTGCTTCATCAGTTCACAACTACCTATCATACATAAAATCTGTGCCACTGCAAACGCTACCATGTTCAATTAGAAGTCACAGTATGTGGTGAGAATGGTTTACTGAGAAAATTTTTAAAAAGAAAGAAAAAAGACACTCTCCAAGGAATAACTAGGAAAGAAAATCAATGTTCTGTTACTATAAAGAATTTTCACAACCATAAAATATAATTGAAAATATACGTCATGCTTTTAAAAAAAACTTAACATTACTACAAATGTCTATAGTCACAAAATTTTGTATGTTAAAAAAATGAATGAAAGTAGAATATGGTTGATTATCTAGAAGAGAATATTTGAAAAGCAAGACAAACCATATGGCTATATTAGTACTTACCTGCTGAATGATTTTGGAAGTTTTCTGAAGATTCTCTCTGGGAGGGACTTTACCAAATAATTTCCAGCCAGGAGCACTATGTACAACTGATTTGAGTTCTTTTGTCCTTTTTGGGAAAAGGTTTCTGAAACAAGAAAAATTACATGAATGGTGCTTCTGGTAACCAGGGAACTACTTGAAAAATGAGAGATGTAAATAAAATGTAAATATTTGCTTTGAATTAGCTACAAAGTGTACTAGAATTGACTATACATGTATTATACCTGACAGTAAAAGCCAAAAATCTAAAAACAAAAAAGTTAAAGAGAACTTGTATAAAATAGGTAAGGATTAAGCCATACAATTTTTGTGGGAAAATACTACTTAATTATTCTCTGTAACAATTTGTTAGTGTTTGAAATAAAAGAGTATCTACTGAGCCTATTCCTATAATATATGTATATGCAAATTGTTTTTCCTAGTCAAGTATGCACAAGAAAAGCTTACATGTAACCTAGTAAGAAAGTTATTTCTCATTGACAGTCTTAAAAAAATCTGCATAAGGAACAAGGATTTTACCTATAATCACCATGCCCTTACCAACCAAATTAAGTATATATTGTACACGTAAGCAGGAATGATATTCAAAGTATGTATACATCAATATGGCATGCCAGGGTACCACAGACTAATCAGAAAGGTACAATGAATCCAACTGAATATAAACACTTCACATAAGCTGTGATATAAATATTCACTAAGAAAATTTACAATTTTTACATACAGTCACAAAGTATTTGAAATCTCAAATAACTTGGTTAATCTATACTCAAAATACATACATACATCTGTTCTGAAAAGTACATTATTGTGATAAGAATGGGATAAATTTTTAATGCATAATGTTAAGGCTATTCTTCAAGTTTAGAAAGATATCAACAGACTCCTACAAAATATGGGTTAATCAATAATAAAGAAATAGTCTCATTTTCCTGGGTGTGCAGTGGAAGTGAATTGATGACTTTTGATGACAATTTAGACTAATTCTTACTTAGAATACTCTAGAAGTTTCATCTGAGACCATATATAGATACCCAGTTTTCTATTTCATAAAATATCTAAATTTTCAATAATGATTACATGAAGGACTGGTATATTTACAATAAAGTTTCATGCCTCAAAGGATGGCCTATTAATTTAAATACTATTTTATACCTTGTGTGTTGCTCATCAATTTATTGCCTCGTAGCTCCATTATGAACCCTGCAGTATACGCTCTGTGACAACATGGAATTCCTTTGAGCATTTCTCCTTTTAAAATAAACATGGGGACTTCCCTGGTGGTCCAGTGGCTAAGACTCTGCACGCATAATGCAGGGGGCCCCGGTTCGAACCCTGGTCGGGGAAATAGATCCCACATGCTGCAACTAAAAAGTCCTGTATGCTGCAATGAAGACTGAAGATCCCACACGCTACAATTAAGACCTAGTGCAGCCAAAATAATAAATAAATAAATAAATAAATATTTTTTTAAAAAAGATTAAAAAAATAATAATAAATAAACATGAAGCTGTTACACTTTCTCAGAAGAGAGAACTGAAGGGACACTGCAGGAGAAAGGGGCTCTGCTCTCCTGTGGTTTCCAGCTGAATCAGAGTGGGTCAGTGGTTTGGTGTGAGGATATCCAATAGAATTCTGCTCAGTCATGTGCCCAAGTCCCTCAGCAAACTTACAGCCTCAGCAACTCAGCTGGCAGATGGCTTTCCTGTAGTCCTCTTAACATTTAAACTGGCACCCCAAAGGCTTCCTGCCAGCACTGAAGCACTAATTCTCTCTGTAAGCCCCACACAGCTCACTCGTACTCCCCAGAAAGTTCTCATCAAGCTATGCTTCCCCCACAAGCCTCCATGTGGCCTGCCTACACACCTTCCAACCAAGGTTTCACAACCCACCATGTTAAACACAGGGGAAGGACCTTTGACACCAAGGTTTATACAAAGAATTCTTGTATGAGACATCAAAAGCATGATCTATAAAAGAAAAACTGATGAACCAAGCTTAAATTGAAACATTTGCACTTCAAAAGACATCACTGATGCAAAATGAATAGAAGGATCTAGAAATCAGTCCCTCCACCAAAGTAAAAATTGAGCCAGAAAGAACAATTGGAATCAATCATTTTAGAACTATAGAACCTTATCAGAAATTTATAACCACCAAGGGAGTGCATGAAAGGAGAGACTGCTGATCTTCCCTAAGTGAAGAGCATGGGTGAACCAACTACCATCAACTGTTCCTCAGCCCCTCCCTCCTGCAGCAGTAGAGATAGCAACCAGCTGGCTCCAGGAGGAATAGTTTCTAGAACAGGCAGCAGCAGCAGCTTCCATTGATGGTATCTATCAGAACATTTAAAAAAGGGTACTTTTTTTGACCCAGATATTTAAGGAAATCTTTGTCAGGCCACCAGCTAACTGCAGGAAATAACAGAACAGAAACTTGTAACCACACACAAAAAGGATTACACACTTTGCAAAAACAGTTTGGAAATAACACAAACAGATGGCTCTAGCCTTCAATGAACAAAAATCTGCAGTCACTGAGAATTGAGAAAACAGATTTACACAATTTCAACATAATAATACTCAGAATGTCCAAGTCTCAACAAGAAAAGAATTATAATACATACAAAGACACAGCAAAGTATAGACCATTCACAGGAGAAAGAATTTGGCAAAAACCATTCCTAAGGAAGCTGAGACAATGAGATTACTAGTCCAGCATGTTACATTAACTGTCATAAATATACCCAATGAGCTAACCAAAACTATGAACAAAGAATTAAAGGAAATCAACCAGGGAACAAAGTGAGAATATCATTAAAGAGACAATTAAATAGGAACAAAACAAATTAAATAAATAAATTAAAATAGGAACCAAACAAATTCTGGAACTGAAAAGTAGAATAAAATTAAAAATTCATTAAAATAGTTCAACATCAGATTACAGCAAGCAGAAGAAAATATCAGCATGTAACATGATAAGACAATTGAACTTATTCAGTCTCAAGAGCACAAAGAAAAAAAAATGAATAAAAATGAGCAGAGCCTGGGAAATTTGTGCAACACTGTGGAGTATACTAGCATGCGTACTATAAGAGTTCCAGAAGCAGAAGAGGAAAGAAAAAGGGGGGCGGCAGAAACAATATTTGAAGAATGGCTAACAATTTTTCAAATATGATGAAAGACACAAACCTACACATCCAAGAAGCTCAACAAACTCCAAGCAGAATAAATTCAAGTAGATATACATGGAGAGACATTATAGTCAAACTGTCAAAAGACAAAGAGAGAATTTTGCAAGCATCAAGAGAGAAGCAACTATCACAAACAATCTATCTTCAATAAGATTAACATCTGATTTCTCTAATGACATCTTGTGGGCCATAAAATGTCAGGTTGACATAATTCAGAGTTCTGGGGGGGGAAAAAAACCTATCAACTGAGAATTCTATATGCAGCAAAAATCTATCCTTCAACAATGAAGGGAAAATGAAGATATTTCTAGATAAGCAAGTTAAGGGTGCTCATTCCTAACAGATCTGCCCTACAAGAAGTGTCAAGAATTCTTCAGAATGAAGTGAAAAGTAGCTCAAAACCATGAGAAGAGATAAGACTGGTAAAATTAATTACACAGGTAAATGTCAAAACCAGTTTTATTGTACTTTTCTGTTTATAACTCCACATTTTTCTTATGTGATTTAAAAGGTAAATGCATAAAATAATATTTACAAATTTATGTTATTGGGCATACACCATACAAACATGTAATCTCTGACAATAACAATATAAATGAGGAGGTACAGAGATGTACATAGTTAGCACAGTATTAGTACACTAATGAAACTGGTTTATATGCTAATGAAATTAATTTGGTATAATTCAAACCAGGTTGCTTTAAGTTCATGATGTCAGTTGTAATCCCCAAAGTTACCACTAGAAAATAACTTTAAAATAAACATAAGAGAATCAAAATGGTACACTAAAAATTCAACTAAATATAAAAAGTGGTAAGGAGGAACTGAGGAACAAATATATATATATAAGACATACAGAAAATAAACAGCTAAATGACAGAAATCCTTCCTCATCAACAATGAATTTAAATATAAGTTGATTACACTCTTTTATTAAAAGGAGAGTGACTGGAACACTGGATTAAAAATACTATGTATGTTGTCTACCTGGGTGGCACAGTGGTGAAGAACCTTCCTGCCAATGCAGGAGACAGAAGAGACAAGGGTTTGATCACTGGGTTGGGAAGATCCGCAGGAGGAGGGCATGGCAACCCACTCCAGTATTCTTATCTGGAGTATTCCATGGACAGAGAAGCCTGGTAGGCTATGGTTCATTCGGGCACAAAAAGTCAGACACAACTGAAGTGACTTAGCAGCAGGCACATGTTTTCTATGAGATATTCACTTTAGATAAAAAAATACAAAGAGATTAAAAGTAAAAAGATGGAAAATTACATTGAAAGCAAATAGTAACCAAAAGAGAATGGCAGTGACTATATTATTGTCACATAAAACAGATGTTAAGTCAAAAAGGTTATAAGAGGCAAAAGAGAACATTATGTGTTGGGGAAAAAAGTTTAATCCAGCAAGAAGATATAACTACTATAAACATTTTTGTTGTTGTTAAGTAGCTAAGTTGTGCCCAACCCTTTGGCAACCCCACAGACTGTAACCCACCAGGCTCCTATGTCCATGGGATTTCCAAGGCAAGAATACTGAGTGGGTTGCCATTTCCTTCTCCAGGGGATCTTCCCAACACAGGGATGAACCCACATCTCCTGCATTAGCAGGTGGATTCTTTTACCACTGAGTCACCAGGGAAGCCCAATTATAAACATACACACACCTAACAACAGAAGAAAAATACATGAATAAAAATTGACAATACTGAAGGAGTAGGCAGTTCTACAATAACTGGAGACTACAGTACCATAGTTTTAATAAAAAAACGATCAGACAGGTCAAAAAGGAAATCGAAGACTTAAATATTAAGTAAGTTATACCTAATAGGCATATACAGAGCATCCCACTCAACAACAGTAAGATACACATTCTTAAGGGTACATGGAATA